TACGGAAGAATAAGTTTATTAAGTTTAAGTATGAGGAATAATAGTAGAGTGCTTTGCAGGCACACTAATAAAAAGAACAACAGAAGCATTACTCAATCCTACTTTACAGTAATGTGCTGACTCAAATCTTTTATATATTGAAGAGAGAATTTTAAAAATGTACTGTAATGCTGTACTTTTGACACCGGTGTTCGGTCCACTAAGAGGACAGTCCTGAAAGAAAATCTTGAGCTAGTTGGGCCATCTCCGTAAATACTGTACGTTTCATTGATTTCTCCAGTTTAACAATATAAAAACTGGCATTAAAAATGTGATTATCACATTTACTTCAGCAGAAAGTGACTTCTTTTCACATAGAAATCGACGTGACAGGGTTTAAGAATTCTTATTTTTTATTTTATAAATCTGTCCGTTTAAATTTGATATAGGCTAATGTCAGACGCTTCTGGCCTCTGTTAATATCAACTGACCTGTCACACCTGGAATTTTTCGAGAAATGTAAAGTATGCACATAGTACTACACTCAGATGTGAACAAATGTTCACTACCAGTCACCGTCTGAGCATCGTTACAGTCCCCATGAAGTCAGAATCAGTGTTTCAGTGTCTCTGTATGTCTCCTGTCCTCCAGTCCTGTTTCAGGTATCTTCAGGTGTCCTTAATGGTATTTTAAAGAGACTGAAAATCAATAAAAGTATTTGATGACTNNTCCAATCAAACGCTTTCTCTCTCCTGACCGGGCCGTTGCAGACAATCTATGGCCTCACTGAGTACTGTACAAAGACCTACTTTATAACTACATTAGCTAGCTAGCACTACTGTATAGCAACATTAGCTTTACACTAGCTGAACTTTTCTGACTGTATTCAGTGATTCTGGTGAAACTGGATCAGATTTTATGGGGAAAATATTTCCTGGTTTTCCCTCTGATGTCCTCCGGTTGCTCAGCTTCAACTCTCTGAGATTCACAGAGTTTCCTGATGGACAGATAGCTTTAGCTAAAGTAGCTAACTGCTAATTAACTGCTGCTAACTGTATCTGCTGTTAGTATGGAGCCCTCTTTCTCCATCTCTCCCTTTGTAGTTCTTCTGCCTTTCTGTCAGCACATTGTTTATTCTCTGACACGCTGTTTCTCCTCCAAGGACAGCTTATGGCAATTTTTACATAAAACATTGTAAATAACCACCTTGGTTATTGATATGCATCCATTAAACAGTGGACCAATGAAGTAATGGTATTTGAATAACTTTACTGAAAATAAAGTACTTATTTCAAACCTGTTAATAAGTAAAGAAATTTATGTTGACAAAATGCTAATTGTTTTCATTTCACAGCATAGTCATAGTGAGTAGCCATTTCATTTTACAAAGTTGCTAAGAGTCATCCTCATGCTAGTCAAAACACAATAACTAACAATAATTCTTATTTAGTTTTAAGGGGCAACAGAGTTGACCTCTTACGGTTGAGACACCCCTGAAAGCAACATTATTTAAAGAACTGATCAAAACAGTTTAGGTTGTTAGGGTGTAGCTAACCCTGTTTAGTGCCTCATTATATTCTCAAAGACAATTTGACAATAATCTAGGGCACAACTTTAAAGGTCCAACATTATAAGAGTACATTTTAAAATGTATTCATTCATTCATTCATTTATTGTTGAGTAATTTGAAACGTGTTTTCTGTCACAGGGCAAAGTTTGAGGTTACACAGACCAAAACAGGAACAGGAAATGTAAAGAAATGTAACCTAAAACATGGAATTAATGTGTTATTTATTAATCAATGAAGTTTATTCGGTAGGACATGATTGTTCCCAAATCTCAAAAAATGCCTGATTATTAATACTATTGTTATTTAAAGAGGAAAGCGCCCTGTTGCCCTCTGTTGGTCACTTTACAGTGGACACATTTACGGGAAAGATGCAGCACTGAAATACACCTGAAAGTTTTGAGATTGCTGATTTTATTTTGGGCTCTTGAATGTAGGAAATGATCTCATGTGCTGAACTTTGTCTGTTTTGCAGTTATGGAGGTAACACGGCTATCGTTGCTGTTGGCTTCATTGATCCTTATTCTCTACTGGACAACCTCCTCAGCTCAGTCACATGACCTCCCATCTTCTGACCTCTCACCAGCCTACAGGGTGAAGAGGGACCAGCCCTTTGAGAACAGAGAAAAGGTTAAAGAGACCTTCCAGGCCATAACTGACGCTCTGTCTCTGGTCAAAGACCTTACGGAAGTGGTTGACGTCCTGAAGAAGCTCTCCAAATTTGCTAGTGTGGCTCCCGGCGCCGTTGGTGTGATCTTCTCTGTGGTCAACATGGTCTT